CCACCATACACGCAGCCGAAGGTCTCGTTGAGGGCCCCGCTACAGCGTTAGTAGTCTCCTGAGCAGCGCGGATTGTTGTCGTGGCCGGGACGCGCAACGGCGGGCTGTCAAAGATCCGAGGGCGGCGACGCCGCGAGCGTGATGGGGCTGTGAGATGGTCAGTCAGTTACTCTCTGCGAGATGCGACCACTTACCATGTTCGACGAGGTTGCCGTTTTCGTCCACCTCGAGGGGTTGGTCTCTGTTGTCACCGGCGTGCGACCTGCTCAGGAACATGGTCAACGAGAACACGATCTTCAAGTCTCAAGGTGAAACACAATCAAAGGCGGAAAACAATTCGCATCAAATTTCAATCAAAACACTAGGCTATCACGTGCTGGGCATGGTGACGGGAATCGTGCAAACGAAGTTCGAGCGCATGGGCTCCCAGCCGTGGTTCCTGAGCTGCTCCGCGCGCGAGAGCGCATTGGAGCAGCCACAGAAAAGTACAGCGACGCTTCTGACCCCATACACCGTGACAGCCTCCAGTCTCTCCGCCTGGCCGACAGGGCAACCTGCGTCCTGATGCTCGAAAGCGATCCGCAAGCCGACGTCACGGAGGGTGGTGCGCGTGAAGTATGATGCGACGTCGCTCCATTCCTATAGCTGCTCAGCACCCGTTTCTCTTGCACGCTGAGAAACAATAAAACCCACCTTGACGTCATGAAACGGCTTCGCGAGATGAGCTTCAATCAGGCAGTCGCTGCAGACGTTGGGGCCCAGACACACAGTGCAATTGAATTGTGCAGTCCGACCACAGTCGCAGGTAGTGCGACCGCGGTCGATCCAGCCCCTGCCATCAAGCATTTTATTGATGCTCTGTTCAATGACAACTGAGCACGTAGCGATAGTCAGTCAAGTTGAGGAACGTACCCTGTAGACGAGCTCAAATTCCGAGGTGTTGAGGATAGCGCGGGGCGGCATTTTGCAGACGACAACGTGGACAAAAGACTACCCCGTTTAAGTGTAAGCCAAGATGACCACAAGGAGAAAAATCCGGAGCATGTGAGCACCTGGGCTATTGCAAAGTCGAATCACAGGGCACCGCGAAGACATTATCGACAGGATTTGAGACAGGATTTGAGGACATGAACGTGCTACCAGGAGGATTACTACCTAGTGGCTAACCAGTACTCCGTCGTCGTTGGAATCGTGGGCGCAAGAGCGGGCATGTCGCTGTCGTCTTCATCAGAAGTCACTGATGCGCCTGAAACGAGACGGATCAGGTGTGTAACAAGTTAGCAGCGAAGGCTTACGCACGCGGAGTCTGCAGCGGCGGCGGCGCGCTATGCAACGGTGCGCTCCACGAAGTCGAGGAGCACACAGCGGCTCCGTCGGTAGTCGAGCCGCACAGCATGGAGGCGACGCTGGGCATCCACGAGTTGTTGGTCCAAGTTGCGCAGTCGTTGCTGTCTGTGCTTCAGCAGTACCACACCAGCTTCAGTAGATCCAAGCCGCCGCTCATATTCGCGACGGCGGTGAAGCTGTGAGACCTCACGCTCGGCGGCGAGAGCTCGATAGAAAATGGCGGCTGGTGGCAACAAGGCCTGTAGTGATAGGGTTGTAAGACTCGCAAACGAGGGACTACTTGGGAACGCACCTCAGAATCTTCAGGTTTGTCCAGATGAACCATTTTGTGTTGGTGGACGAGAGAAGGAAAGACAGTGAGTGTCGGAAAGATGACCTATCCAAAATGACGTACGTCGATTTCCGCTTTGGGACTTTGTATCATACACCAAGAACTCGCGCTTTTGAGGCAGCTTCAGGCACTTCTCAGCCTGATGGCTCGCACCGTCGGGATACAAGCCTTAAACCCCACAGTACTGCCTTCAAAAGGGAGCAAAACCGCAGGGTGCAAAAATCATTAACAGATGCGAACGGCAGGGGCGGACAACTGTAGATTTCTGCTACAAAAAAATTACAGACGAGTTCATACGTCCTAACCGTATACTTGGATATATACGACTTGTGTGAGGTGACGATACAAAAAGTTCATGTCGTCTGGTAAGGGTTTTGCAACTCGCGATTTCCGGTTACTGGTGACTTGATCTCTTGACCCCCATGGCCAACCTCAAACCCCGCCGCAAGAGGCGGGTGGACACATCAGAATACAAACCTGGGTGGGCAAGTTGTCCTGTTAGCTGCGACAATATTTAATTTCTGCGGAATGTAGTCCCACAGACTCTGAAAAGGCAGTGAGCCATTGCAGGGCACAGGCAGCCTACTACGCACGGTGAGCACTATCTTTGGCTGGTGTACGCTCGGAAAGTCTTATATTCACTTGGAGGCATGACTACGTACGGGAAAAAAACTGTATGAATATGCAAAGACGCAGGTGCTTACCCAAAAAAAAAAAATTGTTTGCGTACATCTACTGACACCCACCAGAGCTGCGGAAAAGGCCCTCAAGAGACGTTGGGACCCACCCAAGCCAATCAAGGCCATTCAAGACATCCCCCGGCGGGTGCGCGCGCCTACCCCCGTCGACGGCAGGCTGCTGTCTGATTTAGCGAGCGGTCCAATCGACTTTTTTGACTCCCGGGGAGCCAGCACGTCTGCTGAGTTGGTGGATGTGCTGCCCAAGCCAGCGGCTGACACCTCAGAGATACCAGCGCGTTCTCAAGACGAGGACGAGCAGTTGGCCGCGGAAGCGTTGGTGAGCATGGCTCGGGCGCGCGGTGGATCAGAGTCGCTCGTGCTTGTGACGGCAGGCCCGACACCCACCTCCATCATGGACACGGTCCATCAGCTGAATCTGGGGCCATTGAGCGCGCCGACGCCGAGCGAGACGTGCCGGTGGGTTCACACAAACTTCGACTTCTGGGGGCAGCATCTACTTCCCCGGTGTTATGTCCGTGCAAATCAATCTTTCCTTTTTTCCCACTATCGGTTCTGGTCGCACTCAATCCAACTCTGATCGTGCTCCTGTCACCTCTGGACACACAATCACGCACTACATCAGACCCTGCACCACTCCGGTAATACTCCAGCACCACTCCAGCTCACTCCAGTCGATTAACGGTTCACCTGTTCCCGGACCTATCCCGGAATACATAGCTCTCGTCCAATCATGGAATGCTGAGTACTCCTTCCTTAATAGCCACTTCACATTCATTACTTCACCTTATCTTGGCCACCTCCGGCCTCACTCCTCACCCCGTTCACCCTCCGGTCATCCTGGTTAATCCCGGAACCTCTGGACTAGTCATCCAGCCCTGACCGGTTCTCTGCGGTTCACCCATATCGCCCAGGAACATTCTACCTGAACATTCTACCTGTACTTCACACTGGTCCTTCACTGTGATACAGGCTGTGGCACCTCCACACTCCTTGGTACATTCCGGACTGTGATTATGTAATCACTCCGAACTCCGGTCCTCCACATTCCTTGGTTCAGCTCCACTTCACCCACGTCGTCTCGGACCTCTGCCCCTATGCATTGGAACCTTCCTAAAGGACTGCCAACGTCCTCCGGAATGATTCCTTGCAACTGTGTTCACTCCGGCGACCCGGAGCTCCCAAAACCACCAACAATACCTTGGAACTCGTTCATCTCGACTACCAACATATCAGTTCAACATCTGATACAATTATGCGCTATTCCATCTATGCCCCATCACTCCTGCTCTCGTTCCAGTCGCTCCGGACATATCTCTGGAAACCGGAGTTAACCGGAGTTACCGGAGTCATCAACTCTTCCCCGGAACGTTCGCTATTATGCCTTATCAACTCCTCTTCCATTTATACATCCCTTATCACTTCTCATCTATTGTTTCAACGCTCTCATCACTTCTCCTTGTTGTCTTTCCACATGCTTCATGCTTCTATCACAATCCCATCATTCCCCATCACTTCTTCATCTGCCTCAAGGCAGATGTCGTAGCACTTACATCTTATCACTCTTCTATCTATCTATCCATCTATCAAACCATATGCTCTACCTTTCCCATTTGCTACTTCCTATTATTCCTTACTCCCACTTCATCCCTTTTGCCGCATGGTAGTGTCTTCTTCCATGCGGTTCACTTGTTTCATGTTGCTTCACTTTGCCTCATGTTACTTATTCCCTTTTGTACTAATTACTTGTCCCTAGTATAAATACCGGTACTTTACATCTTGTACAGTATCCGAAAAATAAATGTTATCCATGCTTCCTTCTCATGGACTGTTGCCAATCGTCTCTTGAGGTTCTGGTCCATTGCCTCTCGACGTCTCCCTCTTTATGGCCTTGCTCCCGTCCCCCTCTGGTTCCCTCCTGTGACTCCGGTGACTCCGGTCACCCCGGTTTCCGGTCACGACTCCGGAGTCCTCGCTCGGCCATACCAACAACTGCGGTTCAACTCCGGGTTGTCTCCCTCGTCTTGGATATGCCTCTAGTCCACTCCAGCACACTGCCTTTGCTCCTTCTTCATGTCGACCGTTCTGGTTCGCACCGGAACTGTGCTGGACAACTACCCAACAACACTGGTGATGCTCTTGTGTCTCCAGTCCAGGCTATCCCTGTCCCGTCGCCATCTTCGAGCTCGTACAACTCGGACCTTGGCATAGGACACTTCCCCATCTCGCAGCCCGAGGCCAGTCAGTCGGTCACCCTTGCTGAGTTGTGGTGTTCCGAGAAGTGGCTGATCTAGACATCCTTTCATCTCCAGTTCGCGGCTTAGCCCGGCTCCAGCCACATGATCGGATATTCCTTCCCTCTTGGCTCAGCGATATAACTGGCTACCGGCAACCGTGGATTTTAAATCGTTGGATGACTAAGCCAATTGCCGACAATTTGATGGCAAATGTTGGGCAATCTGCCTTCGCTTTCGATTATTGGCCTATTACTGTATCTAAAAGGACTCCTAAGCTATGAAATATACTCTGGAATCATCCCTGCCTATCATAATACTCCGGTTCACTATCATACCCCTCCATACACTACGGAACACGCACGGAAAAAGGAAGCAAAATCACCAATACGACCTGACCTCGAATCGAACGAAGGTCTCGCATTTGTGGATTATGGGTCACTGTCACCTTTCACAGTAAATGCACGCATTACCAGTTACACCACCAGGTCTACACTACAAACACCCATGAATCGACAATCAACCCACGGTTGACTCTCTCCACGACAAAAATACACACTACGGAGCGTGGGAAAAAGCCACCTGGACTTGCAAACACGGCCTGACCTCGAATCAAACGAGGGTCTCGCATTTAACTGATTATGTGTTGCCATCGTACAGTAAATGCGTGCGTTACCAGTTACGCCACCAGGTCTACCACTGCAAATTTCCCCAAATCGCCATGGCCCTCACGAAAACTAACAATCGACACGACGCATACGGAAGAACACGGTTCGATTTCAACTCTAACGGACTACGCACCAGGAACGGGAGAACATTGCAAGCACGGGGTACGGAAATCACTGCCACGGATGAAGGACACGCATATTGAAGCTACGGAAGGGGGGACGAGCGTACAGAGTACGGGAATTGGGCACTACGGGCAGCAACGCTACAGTCTGTGAGTTAGGTATCCCCTTCAGCACACGGGAAAGCACGGAGATCCCCGCCGCGAGGCGAGGAGGGCAGTGTTGAAGGGGTCCGTGGACAAATAAGGGATAAGGTCGCGCGCGGCGGTCGGAAAAGAAATAGTATAAAAGCAGGGACGTTCGTAGAAGAATACATCTTATTACCTCCCTCTGCTCATACCTAAGCTACTCCCCCTCGATCGTACGGGGTGAGAATCTAGTCAAATACATACACGCTCAGGTTGCGCCGCCCTCCGTGGGACCAACCAAGGTCAATTTGGGCCGAAGCTTCAAACAAGGAGGCTTGTCCGTAGTACTTCTGGTTCAATAGAACGAGCCAGAGGGAATTGTAGAAAACATCAGCGTTGATAGCTCGCGTGGTTGTAGAACACGCGGCGAAACTTCTAAACGGCCAGCAGCCCAACTTAGCCGCGTGTAACCGTTGGCTTGGGCCTCGAACGCAGATCCGTGCGTGGAGTACCACCCCCCATCGTCATGGAAGGCTTATCCGATTCGATTATAACCACTCCACAATTCATTATCACCATTTCGCCCCACACACGCCCACAGAATTAAAACTCCTTGGCCGTACCACCACAGCGTAGAGAATAACTCGGGTTATGAAGGACCACACTATAACCCGTACGCGTTGTGTTCAAACAGTTCTGAAGACACTGCTCGCCCAACCTATACGAGGCAAGGAGATAAGGAAAAGGACCATATAGCCCAGGCATCTCGACACGGAATGGCGTTCATCTTGCGGAGAATCGCCCTTCGCGCAAGTGTAGAAAACCCTCCGATCAAAGCTTTCCTGGAAGGCTAGCCCCCAACGAGGAAATAAATCCTCGAGAACCGAGCGAAACAGTTCATTCCGTACGGAAGGAGCTGTACCACCACCACCACCATATTCAAATACATAACACCTCGTGTACTACTGTAGCAGATGAATCTCCGCGACAGAGAAATTTCCCTCTAGAGGACGAACTAACTTCGTGCTTTTTGCCTGACTATACCACACCCGGTCAGACAACTCACGGAACCGCAGTCCATATCACAACGTCCATGGAATTAAAAAGCCCCAGGCGTACCAGCACAGCGTAGAGAAAAACCCAGGTTACAAAGGACCACACTATAACCTGTATGTGTTGTGTTCAACAGTTCTGGAGACACTGCTTGCCTGACCTATCTGAGGCAAGGAGATAAGGAAAAGGACCATATAGCCCAGGCATCTCGGTGCGGAACAGCGTTCATTTTGCGGAGCCTCGCCCTTCGCGCAAGTGTAGAAAACCCTCTGATCGTAGCTTTCCTGGAAGGCTAGCCCCCGACGAGGAACCTGGTGAAACTGTTCATTCCGTATGGAAGGAGCTGTACCACCACCACCGTAGCAGACAAATCTCTGTGACAGAGAAATTCCCCCCTAGAGGATGAATTAACCGTGCTTTTGCCTGACTGTTGTGAATATAAGCGGAGGAGGGCGCGACTGTAATATGAGAAGTAGGATTGCAATAGCACTGTTGGTTAGAAGGCTGCTTTAGAGTAATCAGATGCTCTAGCAGGATACTACCATGAGCTTATTTACTACAGGAATTGTATCTAGAATATTTTACTTGCATCTACTTGGACTGTCCGTTACTAATCCAATGCCCGAAGGCCGAGCTGCATATTACAAATTACAACACTGACTATACCACACCTGGTCAGACAACTCACGGAACCACAGTCCGTATCACATCGTGTGGAACTGGAGGCGCCTGCCACTCACTCATGAAGCTCAATCGAGATTTCTTGAAATTGACCTTTAGTATCTGGTGTCGTAGGTAGCCTAATTAAAGCATTCACACACAGAATTCTGTGGACAATTGGTGGAGGTTTGTGCGGATTTGCCAAGCACGCAAACATGGTGCACGGGTTTTCTGTGAACAAAAACCCCTATTACTGTATCTTCAAACAGTTATATGAGGTAGATAGGGGTCCTGTGAGCTCAAAAGTATCCAGAGACAAAATTCTGTGGACAATTGGTGGAGGTTTGCGCGGATTTGCCAAGCATGAAAATTTGTACAAACACGGTGCGCGGGTTTTCTATGGACGAAAACCCCTATTACTGTATCTTCCAACAGTTATAGGAGGTAGATGGGGGGTCCCACGAGCCCTGAAGTATCCAAAGACAGAATTCTGTGGTGAGATAAGATGTAGCCTGGCGTGAGTAATACACCGGAAGTATTCTCAACACACCAATCGGCCTGCGGAGGGTTTAGATGAAATCAAATCAAAGATCAAACTTTTTGAACCATGGGAAAGCTGTTCAATTTCGGTCATCTTAGGATCAAAGAACTTGAGTTTGGCACTAGCACAATGAATTCCGCCTAAGAATACGGGAAGCATGGATAGATGCATGAATTTCTTTCATTGTTACAGAGATCAAAGTTTGAGGGTGGTTGTCTCTGAACTTCAAAGCCGCGCTCTATCATGTCATGATTCCCACTTTTTCCATATTCCCATCCTAAACTCTCCGCGTTATTCGCCTAACACCCACCCCGGGTTATTCAACCTCGATCAGAATAACCCGAATGCCGAGATCAATGCCGACCACGGATCAGGAATCCCATCAGGTGCCGCATTGATCCTTTTATTTCAACTTCCCTCTGATTGCTTTTCCAAACGATCACCCCTCTCTGCCTTGTTGCACGCTGCGACGTTGACCGTCGCTGGCAACGCCTCTGACATATTTCACATATATTCTAATTACTTTGTTACCAGTTACTAGGTATTTTACTATAAAACCCCTACTTACAGCTCTGTATTCTTTACACTATTCTACTCTATTCTCCAGAGCTTAATCAGATTATCTTAAACCTATCTCTTTCTGTATCGCCAGTTGCCTACGTCGCAGTAACCCTGCTAGTTAAGGCTCTGTGCTGACAAAAGAATAGTGTCTCCTCTACCGACGACTCGACTGGACGATACGATGAGCGACCCCACCAAATTTACTATGCCTCAGCCGGAGGCGTTCGAGAGCGAGACTGTTGACAGCCGCACTGGGTTGCTCTATCGCCAAGCTCACCAGAGCCACACCGAGATCAGGGAACTCCACGGTCAGATCGCCACCGTTCAAGAGTTGCTTAACTCGGCCCACGGCAAGCTGGACGCACTTAACCACGAACGAATCGTGCAGAATACTCTGCTAGCGGAAGCCATGGCGGCATTGACCTCGGCTCATACCGTCATCGGACAAGGAACTCTCCACACTACGGGTGGGGAGGTCAAACTCAACACGAAGCAACCCCGGGTTGCCGCGCCTCGCATGTTCGGAGGAGACTCCGAACAGGTCGACCAGTTTCTGGCCGACTGCTGGCTGAACTTCCATGGCAACACCGCCTACAGCCAGGATAGCAGCAAGATTACCTTCGCCCTATCCTACATGAAAGACTGATCTGCCTGTCAGTGGGCCAAGAACATTGTGTTGGCCATGCAGACCAAGGATGCGACCGGTTCGTACTCCACCTGGGAGACATTCCGCCTCGCCGTTATCGAGGCCTTCAAGGGAGGAGCGCAAGTCGAAATTGCGCAGGCCAAGATGGAGCGCCTGCGTCAGAAGAAGAGCACGGCCACGGAATACTTCACCGTGTTAGACGCCCTCAACAAGACCGCAGCGTATGATGAGGTCACCCTCATCCGCCTACTTAAGCGGGGAATCGACGAGAAAGTAATCTGAGCCGTCTACGGACAGGGAATCTTGCCCGCCACCTATTCAGAGTGGAAGACCCAGGTTATCAAGATGGACAGAGTGCACCGCGCGTTCCTAGTCATGGACGGAAGCCTGCGAGATGGCAATACCCAGGTGCCTACCCCGAAGATGCACACCGCTCAGAGTTCAGGAGGGAACTACCAGGGGAACCACCATGGATACTCCCGCAAATCAGATTGGAAGGGTCCATTGAATAACCCGGTAACCCATTTTGGGAATAACCCGGTTACTTCGAATTCGGGCGGTTCAACCGCAAACTCTACTACTACCGGCAGCGGAGCCGCTCCCATGGACATTGACCGAACAGTCAGCAGAGGCAACGCCAACACCTCCCGCCCCACTTGTTACAACTGTGGGCAAGAAGGACACTTGGCTCGAAACTGCCCGCGCCGTCTAGTCAAGGACCCACAGTTCCGTGTGATATATTCGGACCTGTTGAAAGAAGAACAGGCAGCAGAGGATTTTCCCGAAGGTCATGAGTAAAGTTTGCGAACTCGCGACCTGACCCTATACCCGACTCACCTGTACCGGTTACATCCCAGAATCGATTTGAGCTTCTATCTATTCCGGATACCGATGAGACGGTGAATGCAAGTGAAACCGAAGAAGAAGTGAAATGGAGTCGAGAGGCCACTCCCTCTCGTAGCTCCAGAAGTCGAAAGTCGAAACGCGAGCGGACGGAGAAAGCGGAATGGCGCAGACTCCCCGCTGGAAGTGCCGAACGAACACTGGCCCGAGCAATTGCCCGGCCCTTTGAAGGAAAAGAAGTCATAACCCGGTGGGCACACCCACACCGACA